GAAGGGGCTGGGGCGGGAGGGCTGCTGTCCCTGCCCTGCTCTGGTGGCTGCAGGCCCAGGTTGGCGAGGGCTGTGCCGTGACGGGAAAGGACCGGCAGATCTCCCTCTCACCTCAGGGGAAAAGGCGAAGCTCACAGCCCAGTGGTGAGCGGCGGAGCCACTGTGAAGTCTCCTTGAAGTCTGGACATTGTGGGTTTTTTTTTAAGTTTTTGAGACAGGGTCTCACTATGCAGCGCGGGCTGGCCTTGAGCTCACAGTGATCCACCTGTCTCAGCCTCCCGAGCGGTGGGATTGCAGAGGAGCGTCACCTAGCTCAGCTCCTGTCGGTTTATCTTTTCATAAACCACAGTTGAGAGGATTCCCCCGTACCCGAGATTAGTAAAATATTTATGTTCATGAAAGGAAGAAAGAAAGAAAGAGAGAGAAAGAAAGAAAGAGAGAGAAAGAAAGAATCTGGGCGCGCTGGCGCCCACCTGTGGACCCAGCAGGCAGAAGGCTGAAGCAGGAGGATGGCCTCACACTGGGCACTGCCCTGCTGAGCTACATTCTGGGCCCTTTGAAGTTTTTGCTTTGAGACAGAGGCTCGCTAAGCTACCGGGCTTTCCTGCCTCACCTGCCTCACTTGCAGCGTAGCTGGGCACCGGTCTGAACCACTGCCCAGTTCACATCAGCTCCTTTGTGTTGAGGATTTTGCGTCTGTATCCATGGAGATATTGGCCGTCATATTTCTTTTCTTGCAGTATCTTTTGTGTGTGTGCCTGCAAGCGAGTGTGTGTGTGTGTGTGTGTGTGTGTGTGTGTGTGTGCGCGCGCGCGCGCACACACATGTGAGTACATGAGCGTCTGGGTAGAAAGCAGTGGATTTACTTGCCTTATGAGTAAGACAGTGAGCTAATGAAAGGCCCAAGCTAGAGTGAGGTGACAGGCACACCCTATAAATATTAGGAGTGCTGGGGATTTAGCTCGGTGGTTCCACTGCCTGCCTCAAAAGTGCAAGGTCCTGAGTTCAATCCCCAGTACCAAAAAAAAAAGGAGCTGGGTGTGGTGGTGCATGCTAGCAATCTCAGCACTCAGGAGGCTGAGGCAGGAGGATCTCCATGAGTTCGAGGTCAGCCTGAATTACAGACTGCTTCAAAAAACAAAACAACTGTGAGCAGGCTTTGGATAGAATGAAGGAGTTTAGGCAGCATGGAATGCAGACTACCAGATAAGAAAGGCACATGCAGCTGCCCCCTGCTAAACTCCTGAATTTCAAGGAAATTACAATGCTAATTAACCAGTTCCTTCTGAATGCCCACTTCCTGTGAACCTTACTGTGAGGAACTGGCAACAAGGCCCGGGGGACGGGGGACAGGGGTGGGGGTCACCCCAGGCAGGGCCCCTCCTGGAAACCCAGATGTCTGCTCATTCCCCATAAAAGTCTCCACCTACATCTGTTGCGGTCACGAATCCACTTATTAAAAGTGGGCTTTTGAAAGAAAAGTATACAGTGGGATGGGGACTAAAAAGGCCGAGTTTATCTCACGCCCATGTGGATGGGCTGACACGGGAGAGAGAATCGACAGCTTCCCGGAAAGCAGCCAGGCTCACACAGGCCCGGAAGTGGCTGCGGATTCCTGGACCGAGGCTAGTGCCGTCAGCCACATGCCTTGTTACTATTGGGCCATTATTCCTAAACGACTGTACCTCTAATCTTATTGGCTGGTTATAGTTTTTACCCACCTTGTGCCCACCCCTCTTGACTTTGCTCTGTGAAGCTTCCTTTGAGAAGTGGGCTCGCTGGCAACCCTTTCGGGACCCCTCCTGTCTCCCTGGAGCTCCCCCGCTCCCCCGTATGGGTGTTGAACTCAGGACCTTAGGCCGAGAGGCAGGCGTGGTGCCACTGAGCTAAATCCCCAGCCCTCCCAGGAGGTATTCTTATACCCCAATACATTTTCCTGCTCCTGTTGTTCCTTAGGTGGATCTGAGAGCTCGTAGGTTTGGGAGTCACATCTATTCCCCTTGTATCACTTGATCTCGCAGAGCTCCTCCTGCCTCAGCCTCCCAAGTGCTGAGATTCTCAGTGTGCACCAGTCCTGGCTGAAGGCGACACATTTAAAGAGAAATACTAGGAAGGTGGGGGAAGGGAGCATAAATGGTCAAGATGCGTTGTATATGCTCCAATTCTCCGAGACGAATGTCATTCTTAGGTATTGCAAATGCACAGGACTAATAAGGAAATTTAAAAAGAAAATACTGGTTTCACCAGTGAATGTGACAAATGCTGCAGCTGTCTTTATCTCTAGCCTCTTGCACCCCACACCTGATTGTCCTTTAGTCCTTCTAATCTTACATTACAAAACCCTTGATTTAATTTTTATTATTTTTCATTTATTTTTGGTTCTTTGAGACAGGGTCTCACTAAGCCCTAAGTTCTCCAGGCTGGGCTGGCATTTGCCACCTTTCTGCCTCAGCCTCCCCCTGTGCTGGGGTCACTGGTGTGCACCCCCCCAAGCCTGACAAGCCTCTCTCTACTAGTCCATGCGTGTCTGGGCAGCATTTATACTGGATCTACATGTGTTTCCTCTGCTGACCGTTTCCCTGGGGAGCCTGGCCAACGCACAGGTAGATTACCAGGATCTTTTTTCTTGTTTTGTTTTTTGAGACGGGATCTCCCACGGAGCCCAGGGTGGCCTCAAAGTCATGATGATCCTTCTGATCACGAGTGCACCTGAGTCTCTGCTGACCAGGACAGGGCCTGGGCCGTTTGTCCCTGAACCCACGGGGAAGGACGGCCACTTCCTGTGGTTGGGGTGAACACACAGCGTGGAGGAGAGGAAGTGTTGCAAGCCTGAGCTCGGATCCCGGGGAGGTGGAGGCGACTGTGGGTGGAGGGGCAGGGGCTGCGGCCCAGCTTCTGGGAGCCCCCAGGGGCCACCTGGGGGTCTCAGCTGGGCCTTGGGGCACGGGCCGGGTGGGATTGGAGTCTTTCCAGGTGACGGGACCCCAGAGCTTGGGCTTCGGAGCCGGGAGGATGTGAGGTGGAACTTTAGCTCTGTTTCTTGTTGTTTTGAGACAGGGTCTTGCTATGCCGTCCAGGCTGGCCTTGAACTCTTAGTGACCCTCTGGCCTCAGCCTCCAGGAGTGCTGGGATTATAGGCATGAGACACCATGCCCAGCTAACATTTTATTTATTTTATTTTTGGGTAACCGGGGATCGAACTTGCGACCTTGCACTTGTGAGGCAGGCAGTGGTCTTACGATTTTTGATACTCATCTTTTTCTTCTGAGATCCTTTTCTTGTCACACACAGCTCTCCTTAACATTGATCCTAGTGTTGGTTGCAACAATACTAAAAAATAGTTGACCTCCTAGGGCCAGGGATGTAGCTCAGTGTTGCTGCACTTGCCTCGAAAGTGCAAGGTCCTGAGTTCGATCCCCAGTACCAAAAAAAAAAAAAAAGAGAGAGAGAGAAAAGAAAAAAAAAGTTGACCTCCTGATGTTTATCTTCGTGTGTGGGTGTGACTGGGGTTGAGCTCAGGGTTCCCGCTGAGCTGCGTCCCCAGCAGTCTTTGCCTCATTTCTCTCGAGACAGCCTCGCCAAACATTACCTGGGCTGCGCTCGAACTTGCAGCCCTCCTGCCTCAGCCTCTCCAGTGCTGGGAGCACAGGTGTGCACCACACACCCTGCTTTCCCACTTCTCCGTGTCCCGGAGTCTTTGCAGTGGACACAGGCATCGGGATGGTGGGAACTCGCAGTTCTTGGTGAGGGAGTTTCTCAGGGGCATTTTCAGTCTCTCGATCTGACTGCCGAGAACCAGCACTTCGTCTCATTTTCCCTCCTTGTCTGGCGGCGAGGAAGCAGGGGAGCTGCGGTGGGGTAGCTGACTGGGCTCTGCCTGTCCTCCCGCACCTGCCGCCCCCTTCCCTGCTGGGGAAACGAGGGCCCCCTGGGCGGGGCCCTCAGCGACTCCCCCGGGGTCTGCACACCAGGGACGCTCTGGGGCGTGGCTCACCCTGCTGGGCCCCGGACCGCTTCATCCAGTCCCGAGTTGCTGGGGGCCCTGCTGCCCAGCTCCTCCTCGGCCGCAGCCCCTTGTGCTCCCAGGCCTTGCCGGTCGGCCCTGTGCTCCCGCGCTGGGGCTGTAGCCCAAGTGTCCCTCCGCGGTGCAGAGGACAGCGCTGCCTCCTCCTCCTCCAGGGTGTGCTGACGCCGCACTGAGGGGCTCGCTCACAGGGTGCAGCCCACGCAGAGGTCGCGTGGGGGATGCAGGACTTGTCACAGAGTGAGTGGGCTGATGGCGCACGCCTGTAGTCCCAGCGCTAGGGAGGCTGAGGCAGGAGAATCACCAAGAGTTCCAGGCCAGTCTGGGCTACATAGTGAGTTCAAGGCCAGTCTGAACTGCACAGCAGACCCTGTCTCAAGAAAGAAAGAAACAAGCAAACAGGGCTGGGGATTTGGCTAAGTGGCTCTGCCACCTGCCTCACAAGTGCGTGGCCTGAGTTCATCCGTGGTACCAAAACGAACAACAACAACAACAACAAAAACATGCAAAGATAAAATGGTGACTTTTATGTAGCATGTATTTTACCACAATTAAAAGAAAAATGAAAACCACTCCCCGACGACCCAATCCTGGTGGGTGTGCAGGCCCCTGGGTCTCAGCTTCTAACTGATGGGCCAGGTGGGCAACCTCAGGCTCCGGGCTTGAGCACCTGGGAGAACCACAGGGACGGGGATGGGGTGCAGGGGGGATCCTCCTGCCTCAGCCTGGCTGCGGGGCACCTTCAGCAACTGCCCTGCTGAACTTTAAGCTGACACAGGGACTCGGTCCCAGGAAACAGTGGTCTTGAGGTGCCATTGGCCACGGCGCCCAGGGCACAGGGCAGGGATGGGGCGGAGCGCAGAGGCACTGTCCCGGGCAGCTCCGGG